CCACCCTGCACTCAGGAGCAGGGACAGGGCTTCTCCTCCCCAAGGCATCAGATGCAGCCAGGGCTCTGAGCGACGATCGCACCCCGCCTCCCAGCCACTCCCCCAGCCCCCGCCAGGCTTCTGTCTGGCGCCCAGCCAGAAATCCAGGAAATACTGGACATTGCACATGTCCGGTATTTTCTAGATTTTTTTTTTACCAGACAGAGGGCCCAAAAACTGGACTGTCTGGTAGAATACCGGACACCTGGCAACCCTAGTTGCTACAAGTGTCAACGACTTGAGCGTCAACGTCAACGGATGTATAGTGGGACACCACATATTCCATTAAGGCACTGGATTCCTTCACTGTTGATTCCAATATAACAGAAGTCAGTCTGCCGCAGGAGGGTTTGCGTCATTGTGTACTGGCATCAGCATTGATCTTCTCTAGCAAGAGAGTTTGCCAACACTAAAAACAAAGCGTAAATGAAAGTAGTTGTATTGTTGGAGACGCTGCTTTCCTGTCTGTGCACCCATAAGCAGGCATACGTCAGTGCAGAGAGGGATGTGAGGAAAATCTTCCCCCATGTAGCTATACAAGCTCTGAAAAATCAGGCAGGTGGAGGTGCTGCCTCAGCTATAAATTGTGGACTGGATTTGAGACCAATACTGTCTTAAAAGAGGCATTTCTGAGCCAATAACAACTGTCTGGCTGAGCAGAGACGTCAACATTGACACTGATAGTGTGGGGTCTCCTAATTTAGAGGTTGAAATCCTAGTTTCTGGTCTGATATATTATTGTTTTCACTTAGAGCTTTCATGTTTAATATTAAAATAAACTATTTAATGTTTTAAAAAGTAAAATTCCTCTGATAATGAAACCAGCCTGCAGAAAAGAACTTGGGATGGCCACAAACTCACTTAAACCTTTACATGTGTTCCTACAATTTAGATCTCAGGCCAGTTATGAACTAGCTCTGAGTTGCAAATGCATTGTCAGTAGCGCCCCACTTTATTATATAAATTACTCTCCCCAGTACCTGTTTCCTAGCCCTAGAGATGTTTAAAATGAAAGTGGACAAAGCACTACGCAAGAGAGTCTAGGGAACAATTGTACATTACTTTGTGGATCACTGAAAATCATTTTTTCCATTTAATCATCTATGCTGCTGTTATTTACATATAGTTTCAGAACTGGAGAAGGGATTACCCAGACCAGCTCTACAACTGTTAGCATTTCTTGTCCTATGAAGTCCCATGAGTGTGGCATCCTGACCTAGTGGTACTCCAGAGAATACCTAAGTAATGGCAGTTAGGAAAGCCATGTCTTTCCATTGTTTGGCTAGCAAGAATATTTGGTTTTCTGCTGGCCTAGATACAGTGTGCTAGAAACTCCATCTGGCTCTCAATAAAACATTCAAAAAGAAACGGCAGCTGGCACATAATATGGTGAGCTAGGTCATGAGGAAGAAAGAGTTGATCAAAGCATCTTACATAGGAATGCTACAGGCTGTGTTTGCTTCCTGTTCACTGTCAGATCCAATTCAAGATTATGGTACTGATCCATAAAGCCCTTAGAGCTCAAAGAGTCTTCCTCTGAGACCAGCCACAGCAGTTACTTTCATCTGGCATTTCATACTGAAAGAACACACATGAAATTGAGGATGCCAGAGTGAGAACGTTCTTGATAGAAACCCATGGGGTGATATAGGCTCCCCAATCAGGAAAAATCACCTCTTAAATAACTTCCTCTGTAGAACCAAAGCACCCAGGGCAAGCAGCATATACCAGAGAAGAAGCTAATGTTTAAACCAGAGCAGGAGGTAAATTGCCTGAGTTTTCTGGGGAGAACCCACTATTTTCTATAATTTGCATACAACATCTGAATGCCAAGGTGTCTTAAAAATGACAAGTGGAGGCGAGACTGGGTATGTGACACAGGTTAAATACTATGAAGGTTTAAAACTATGTCTAGCACTATAGCAATAGCTTGCAGTTCAATAAGGCAATCTGGGATGCTTCTGGCAGAAAGGAAACACAAGTGCAAAAGCTAGTGACTGCTGTCTGTCCCAGGAGATTGACTTGCTGCCAGCTGCACTGCAGACATACCCTAAGAATGCAGAGAGTAGCAGAACCTGGAACACAAGTGAGTGGGCATGGACATGGGGTATAATGGAACAGGTGAAAGTGTGTGGTGGAGAACTGGCTGTGCATTTGGTCAGATCAGGAACAGTCTGTGCATGGAAGAAGGGCAAGTACAAAAGGATGAAAGAATACACTGGAATGGTAAACTGCATGAGAGAAAGAGATGTGGCTAAGAAAGTACATAAAGGTGAGCGCAAAGAGAATAAAGTATTACAAAAGGATACTTGCTTCCCTGTAGATGAGCCTTTTAGATTGATTAGTAACTTGCTAATGATTTTTACTGGGACAGTTATTCCCCCAAATGGCCTTCAGTGACTGGAAGTCCATCTGTAGGCTTACCCTGTTTTTTTAAATTGGAGACTCCTTCCCTAACCCTGCCATTCACAGGGCTTGCAGCACATATGGCCTGGAAGCTTGAATAATGTCTGAAGCTTTCTGCAATATCCAGACGCAGGAGGGTGTGTTTAAAAAAGAGTTTCAGTTATGGAAACTGTCCATGCACCACTGAGCTTCCCTTATCTTCACAGGAAGACTGCTGTATAAAGATGTTGGAAGAAAGCTGGGTGCTGCATTGAGAACAACATGGCTCATAAACATTAGCACTGTGGGGAAATTGCCAGTTCCTTATTTCAAAAGTTTGTGAAATTCCTTAGGACTTTGTGCTCCTCTGACCGCACCCAAGAGCCATGAGTAGCCACAGTTATTGCTAAGAGCTGAGTGATCATGTAATTAGAGTGTGTACTCTGAAAACACGCCATACAGTTCAGCTGATAGGTGATGTGATATGCACCTCTCAGCTTCAGGCTGCTAGAATCAAATGAACCTAGGCATGGGAAAGGGGGAGGGAGGGAAGAGATGGCACTCTTCCAAGCTCCACCCACAAAATAAGTTCCGCCCAGGCAAGGTACAGAAATGTGATGCTGCTTGCTATCCTGGTCAGAATACAATTGTGTAGCTCTTTGAAGGTTACTGTGCTCCCAGAACTCTGGAGGCTTACATATGTCTATAGGCTGTGCTAGGCATATTGGGCTGAGATCCTGCTTGTCTGAGGGGGGAAATGAATAGTGGTATCTCTTAAGCACCACCCCCTTGTGGCACCAACATACGGCCTCACTCACAGTGAATTGTGCGGATCTGTGAATTCTCCCTTTGTGTTCTTACATGCAGAGTGGAGTAAATGGTGACTTCTAAATTAACCTCTTTGGATAGCTTGGTTAACACCTCAGTGAGATGAATGAGGCAGCTTATACTCTTTAGAGGAAATGTTCCAGGGTCAATGCAGCTTCATGTGGACATCTTTGTGCAGGTTACACTTGGCTCACCCTCTTGAGGTTTCCATCATAACCGTAACAGAGACTTGCTTTCCTTTTTAGAGGAGTTGAGAGTCCTGGGACAAGGGCTGTAGCTTCCACAAAGGAGCTGGTGTGGTATGTGGGCTCTGTTGGATCCCTTCAGCTTACTAACACCCCAACGTCTCTAGCATCTGATAGCTGCAGTTTGTCTAAAATAAGTCTGTTGATGTCAGTGCTGGTGCTAGTGGATAGGGTCCCCCTCTCTGTAATTGACATAATCTTGGCAGCATCCACAGAAACACCAGGGGATTGGACCTGGGGATTGAATTACCTTCTCCCCTCTAGAGATGGCCTGTCTGTGTCATATCTGACACACACTGGCAGAGAAGCTGGTATGACCACTGTCTGTATGGTGTCTCTAGTGTGATAAGCAGAGGACTCCAGTCAGAGCTGTCATTAGCACTTAATCCAGCTAGGTAATTACAAAAGCAAAGCTATATTGAAGAGTCATTCTTCACAGCCTGTGGGCCTGATCACATGCACACTGGTGCAACTCTATTGACATTGCTGGTGTTACCTTATACTGGGCTAAGTGTGAGCATTGTCAGAATGAGCAGACTTTGAGATGGCCCGAGGAAAGGCGATTTCCTTTGCACAGAGGAATCTGGAAGCACAGAGCTGGGATAGCCAGTCCAGTGCCATTGTCCTCACGACTCCTGGTGTTGGAGGCATGGCTGGGGCTAAGGCTGTACTTGAATGCTCCTTGGCTGCCTGAATGTCACTTTTGACTCTTTCAGGTAGGCCTAATGTAGAGCCAAACTGTGTCTCCTTCTAACCCCCGGATAGGGTGTGTGGTACCAAGGTAGCATATAGTTGCCTTTAATCCCTTATTCAGGTACTCTACTCCGAGAACAGCTCAACTTGTCTCAGTGACTGGGACTCTGCACTATGTCGAGATCAAGCACTTCATCAATGTGGGTAAAAAATATTTGTAACCATTTTGCATCTAGGAAACCCCAGGCACAGAGAGGTTAAGTGACTCATCCAAGATTACACAACAAATCAGAGATAGAGTTGAGATGCTAGCCATCCTGGCAGCTCTTCTGTCACTTTTTTTCATTTGGGGAGTTTGCAAAAAAGTAATAATCACTTCTTTTAAAGTCAACATCAAAAATATCATAGTCAGTCTTCTGTCTACAATTGACCAACTTTTTTGATATTTTTCCCCCCAGGGACACCTGTCTGGTTCTTTGTGAAAATTGCTCCAATTCGAAATGAGCAGGATAAAGTGGTTTTATTTCTTTGCACTTTCAGCGACATAACAGCTTTCAAACAGCCCATTGAGGATGATTCATGTAAAGGTTTGTCTTTCTTGTCCTACAGTTGTGCATTGTGCTGTTTCTCTTGGTGTGCATTGATCTTGAAATAAGTGAAGACCTCTAGTATCCACAGTAAGAATTGGATTTTAAGACAAGTGGCAGCCATGCTATGTAAAATACAGCTCCATGTGGAATGGCTGCAAGCTTTACAGTGATCTAAGCAGCATTGGCTTGGATGGCTGACCACTAAGGAAAAATCCATGTACTGTTGGAAGTTGGGGCTGGGGATCCAGTGGTGCTTTTCTTTTTAATTCATTGCTGATCAGTGCTTCAGCATGGTATTATGTGAGCACAGAGCTGTTACAAGTGCCAGATTTTGGATAAGGTGTAAAGTTGAGATTCTGACGACTTATAATTAGAGCCCTGCATGGGCCCAAATTTATATCCACATCCACAAAAACGAGCCACGGATATCAGCAGTCACATCTACTGCTGTGGTTATCTGTGGATTTGCAGGGATCTACTTATAGTTGTTATGAGCTAGTGAAGGGCACTTAGCCACCATAACCCCATTGTCCTTGGTAGGAACAGGGGCTGTTCAGCTTCTCTCAGGGTATGTCTACACTGCATCCCTAGTTCGAACTAGGGATGCAGTGTAGACATACCCTGAGAGAAGCTGAACAGCCCCTGTTCCTACCAAGGACAATGGGGTTATGGTGGCTAAGTGCCCTTCACTAGCTCATAACAACTATAAGTAGATCCCTGCAAATCCACAGATAACCACAGCAGTAGATGTGACTGCTGATATCCGTGGCTCGTTTTTGTGGATGTGGATATAAATTTGGGCCCATGCAGGGCTCTAATTATAAGTCGTCAGAATCTCAACTTTACACCTTACGTTGGCTCTCTGTGCAAGAGCAGAGGCATTAACCCTATTGCTGGAACCTAGCCCAGACTTGAGTAATTTCATTTTACCTGCCTAAATGAGGCCCTGACCTGGTTTCCATGGAACTCAGTGAAAAGACTCCCATTGACCTCAGTAGGAGCTGGATCAGGCCCAAACTGTCCTAACCTGTTGGGGAGAGTTGCTACATGTTGTTAATCCATTGCTCAGTTTCACTCCAGAAGCTGTGGTCCTTCAGCAAGGCCCTGATCCTGCATATTCATAGGTAGGCTTTTATGTCTGCACATAATAGATTGTAAAGCAAGATGAATCCTTGGAAGTGAGATGTACGTGAAGTAAGTTCTGTTGTTGACAAATAATATCTGTAGTTTAAAACTTAACTAAGAGTTGCATTTATTTACATTTTTATTTTAAAAATCTAACATTTCTAACACCCATCTCCCTTCCTAATGAAGAATACCCTTTAAAATAGACTCTGCCAAGCTGCAAGGATTTGTTTTCTTTCCACTGCTATGTGTTTGGGGTTTTTTTTGTTGTTGTTTCATCAAATTAGAAAGTGGGTTTTGTAATCAGGAAGATCTGTCTCATAGAAAATAGCTTTCTGCCAGGCATCTAGAGGTCTTTACTTCACTCTGACATGAACTGACTGCTGAGATAAATCAGTATTAGGAGTAAAGCTAGCTCTAGCTTATTCACTGGAATGACTGCCCACACTACGGTTAACCAGACAATGAAGTGAGTTTCTTTCAGGAGTGATTGTCTCTAGATATCCCCTGTGCTTCTGCTGAAACAAACATTCTGCTGAAGAACCTAATATGCTAGTGAGCTATGGACTGAGAGGTAGATATTTGTTTTCTTCCTGAAGATAAGGACACATTCTATTTTGTAAGAGGAGTAAGTAGGAGAAAGAAAACGATAATCAAACATTTGAAAAAGTTGAACCTGTTGAGTCCCTGGATTGCACTATCCTCACAGTAGTGGTGATGATGATGCTTAGCAGTTTGGTATCCAAAGAAATGTAGAGAGATTAATCTAATCAGTCCACACAGCATCCAAGTCAGATGGATGTTCTGCCCATTTTACATATGAGGAAACCAAGACAGGCAGCTAAATGCCAGAGTTTTGAAATGTGAGTGCCTAAAGCCATGCACATTTACTTATTTCATGCGGAAATCTCCACTTAAACACCTAATAGTTCATTTACAAATGTAAAGAACTCATTGGCATGTGCAGTTATGTTTAGTTTCATATGAAGTGGACGTGTGGCTCTGGTATCTGATCAATAGAAATAAGGTCCTGTAGGTCTGCTTATCAAAGTAATGTTACTTTGTGCAAAGAACAGCTGTTTATTTATCTCTGCCCATTTAAAGAGCACCTTATGGCTTGGCCTGAGTACAGGTACAGAATCTGTACTGAGTACTTAGCTATGAATACCTTTGCCCACTATTGAATGTTGAATTTCAAGCATATTAATAAAGCTGTCAGAGTCTTTGTGACTTTCTGAAGGATGTGTGTGTCTAGCACCAATGATTTGAGTTTGACATGTAAACTAAAGTGAACATGCATCTTTTATTTGAAGATGGGGATGGGAAGGCAGAGATGAAAATGGTACCGAGACTACCAATTCATTTAAAAAAACCCCTAATAATCACAGGCATTAAAGGATGAAATTTGAAAAATGAAAGACTTGTACTAGGTATGCTTCTAATTATAGGCTCTTTTGGTTTTTGGTTAAAAAAAACTCATATGCTTTTAATAGCTGCATAATATACGCTGCCATGGAAATTAAGTAAATTTGCTTTTACTTTACGTTGCTTTAAAAACATGAAATATAACTACTAGAAAAGTAGTATGTCACCAAACACATTCCCCGTAACATTTTTGGGGAAAATTGAGTCTTTGTGCAATTCCATTCAAGTCAATTGAGTTAGATTTTGGCGGAATTTGGCACTTGATATTTTATGTGACCCTCATAGTAGACCCTCTAGAATGTCTGATATATCTGAAACTAATCTATTCTCTTGTCCTTTTGGTTTATGATTACATGGTGTTTGCAGCTCTCCAAGGAGCAGACATTCAAAATTATCTCTAAATTTGAATGCAGTTTTATTGTCAAGGTAATTTGTATATGCAAACAGGATTCATATGTACAAATGGGTAGTCAGACATTCAGCAGGTTGGCAGGATCAAGTATTTGTTCATTCAAAGTGATATATGCAAAAGGGGCTGTGTTGAAGTCCATTTTAAAGAGGAGGAGTTCTGCTGACTTGAACAACCCAAGATCTTTTCTTGCTTAGATCCACTGTTTTGTTTTCATTATTATTTAGAATATAAAATGATACTGGGTTCAACAGTCATGAGCTCTGTGGGGAGAAAGATTGCTAGCCTTTTATCTCACAACCTGCTATGTTACCAGCAGTATTCATTATCACTGCCCCATCCAAAAAAAATTTATTTTACTTTATTTTTATGGCAGTACTTTGGATCAGAAGGAGGACTCTGAAGAACCCAACTGACTTTGTTTGCTTGGTTTATTTTAATTCAATTTGTGAATCAAACCTTTACCCCTCTATTTAATTTTTTTACATTATTGAGACCATAAAGACTGTCTTGTTTATACCACTTGGGTATATTAGGAGAAATAAGAATGTTCTAGAACTCACTAGAAACTTAGAGGAGAATGGGAATGAACAGTCACTGATGATTAAAAAGATGGGAGAAGTCAACTGTAACTGGATATCAAAGAGAGGGGAGTGTATGGAATTGACAACTATTCAGGAGCTTGGTTTGCAGAATCTAGATAATTCTGAATGCAGATGAGGCATCTGATAACTTGGTAATCAGAGAATATAAATCTGGATACCCCATCTTTACTTTTTCAGTGTTCACAATGTTAAATTCACAAGGCAGTGGCTTTTAATTCTATCTCTAGTAACTGAAAGTTACTGATCAATGCTCCAACTTGGCAAGTATTTAGTCATTACTATTGTATTCAGCCCATGAAAGGATGTGATTTATTTTGAGTCAGATGAAGGAGGTGGTAGGAAATAATTCAATGAGCTGAATATTGAAAACTGATACATCTTCTAAAATATAATCTTTGCCATATTTTTGAAGCAAATTACAAAGAGTCCAGGTTCCTCTCAAAATGCAGTAAATTGACTTCTTCAGATTTTCTGAAGATGAAATGTGCCATTGAATGAAACTTCATCTCTTAAAGTAGAAGAGGAAAACATTGTGGTGTTTGCTCCTACAAATAGATCTTTTCAATACTGTTGTTGCCATTGAAACCTAGCTTCAGTAATAATGTAAGTCCCCATTCTAGGCATTTCAGCAGCTCTTTCATATTAACTTTTTTCAGGGGCAGTCTCTCTTCTCTTCAGCATTCTAAAAGCAGCAAAACTCCTTTGTAGTGACGGTGTAAACACAAATGAATGTAAAAACTTGATATTAATAAGAGAGCTTGAAACTCCTTGTCAGTTTCTCCAGACTAAATGAAACTCATTGGTCTATAATCCAGTGCTGTAAATAAAGAAACAGGAAAAAAAACAAAAGGAAAACCTTAAAGAAATAACATTGGCACTAATTCCACATTGTTTTTGAACCTGAGAACTGACCTAACAGTTCATTCAGAAAAAATGTTTCTACTCATTTCTACTGATTCTGTACCTGATAACAAAGCCACAGAGTATTGTATTCTAGTTTTTTGGGGTCGAGGAGGAGAGAGAGACTACAAATCAAGTGTCTTTGCCATTTGCTCAGAGAACAAAAAGTTAACATGAAAAAATATGAGAAGATTCTCGGATGGACCCTTCTTTCAGTACTATATGGACTCTTAGGCTATGTCTAGACTGCATCCCTCTGTTGACAGAGGGATGCAAATCAAGCATGTCGAAATTGCTAATGAAGCAGGGATTTAAATATCTCATGCTTCATTAGCATAAACATGGCTGCCACTTTTTTTGAAATGGAGATTTTTCTTAAAAAAAGGCAGTTTAGACACAGATGTGTTGAAAACAAACCCTTTGTTGATAGATCCCGTATTCCTTCAGAAAATGAGGTTTACAGGATCTGTCGAAAAAGGGTTTATTTTCAACAGATCTGCATCTAGACTGCCGTTTTTTTTAAAAAGCTCCGT